TATTTCAGTTTAAAGGAAGCTAGTTCAGGTAGCTGAGTGCTGCTCCTGACAGACGGCCCTTTAACCAGAACAGGCCTGATGTGAACTGAGACAGCTGCTGGCTTTGAGTATCTGATTAGAAATCTCACCCTGCAGAAAGCTGATGCAATTGTGTGCAGATCAACCCTTAGAAAACCATCTTCAGAGTGTGGAAGATAGATCCTTGTGGCCCCACTGCTCCCCTGCCTGCTCCCATGCCCTCATGACACCAACCAGGGCCCTGCTGACCCTCACATTGGCAGTAAAAGGGGACAGGTAGGAAGCAATAAATGGAAACTATCTCTACTTCTTTCACTTTGCACCTGGAGAGTGAGGTTCCCATGGTGCCATGAGTATGTCAGGTCAGTACAAGACTGTTCCATAAAGATAGGGGCCAGATTGCCAGTGCTGTAATGCACCATAACTCTACTGAAGGCAAGGAAAGGGGAGGTGGGGCATGACAGGAGAGCTGGGAAGGATTGCTGACCACCAGGTCAGTAAGACCAGCTCAGGCCCTGCAATGACAACCACAGAATCATAGAGTATTATGAGTTGGAAGATACCCACAAGGAACATCAAGTCCAGCTCCTGGACAACCCCAAAATTCATACCATGTGCTGTTTGTCTAAATGCTTCTTGAACTTTGTCAGGCTTGGTGCTGTGACCAATTCCCTGGGAAACCTGTTCCAGAGGCCAACCACCTTCTGGGTAAAGAACCTTTTCCTAATATCTAACCTAAACTTCCCCTGACATAACTTCAGGACATTACATAACATCAGGAATGCTGATATTTGTGGGTATTTCTCTTGTGTTTCACTGCTGCATTTCCCAATTCCATTAAGATGTTTTAGGGAGAATCCCTGTCTCTTGTCAAGTCCTTGTCTTGTCCCCAACCAGGGGAACTTTTCCTGCACAAATACATACCACATGCTCCCATGGCCTCGTGATGCAGCATTGAATCAGTGAACAAAGCACATGAGGAGAGCTCGACCTGTTGACACAGATCTGTGGAGTCGGATGTAGGAAAGTAAGCCAAGGCAAACCTGTTCTCTGGGACTGCCCTCGCTGCCACCTGCACAAACATGGCAGAGTCCCAGGGCACTGAAAAAGCAGGAGGGGAAGGCTGCTCCACAGAGTGCCTGTCAGCCCAGCTGATGTGCCAGGGCAGCATCCCCCAGCCAAGCCCCACATCAGCCTGGCCCAAAGCAGGCAGCACCATCCCCAGCTCCCTGCATGCCCCTGTCCTCCTTCCTGGCCAGCTTCCCACAGAGGCTCCTGTTTTGGGACAGCCTTGACCTGCTCTGCAGGGCAGGCTGGACAGTCCTGCTGTTTCACAGCCTAGCTGTTCAATTGAGGCCAGTCACTGCCTTGTGTCAAAAGGCCAAGCTGATATTTTGTTCACCTGTCAAGTTTTCCAGACCTGAGTTCCCTTTTCCACCAAGAATATTACGTGTGACGAAACCCGGACTTGAAACTTTGTGTTTGACCACCACGGCTTGGATTATTTTTTCTTTGGTTATGGATATATGATTTCATCTGCCTGACTTCTAGAGTGACAGATTCACAGCTCCAATGAGATGGTATCACACGAACAAAGGTTTCAATACATCCAGGACAGAAGAACTGAAACCATTTGTGCTTAAAATATACAACATATGTGCCTCACCTACAAAAGTTACTTAAAAAACAGCGATTTAAAGAGCTGCAGAGTCAGAAAACCGACTGCCAACATTTCTGCCCATTTCCCCAGCCATTCTGTGGGGCAGACAGGACCCATTTCCCTCCCAGAGAGGGGGGTGGGAGGTGTAGCTCATGCTTTGATAGTGCCCCATGCCCTGCCTTGCACATGGACCAGACAATGCCTTGTCTCAGTTTTCCTCCCCGTGTTTTCTACTGAATGAATTCATCAAATCTGGTGGCAAATTCTCCCCTCAGCTTTTGTCCTCATTGCATTCTTTAAATATTTAGTAAAAGAATGTCTTTAGTTCATCCTGGCTGAGGCTGAGTATTTCCCCCCAGGAGCTCTGGCTGGTGGCAGTGGTGGTGAGCCAGGGAGAAGGCCAGAGTGGGAAAGGTCCTTGTATAGCTGGAGTGGCACTGGAGAGGACACTGCTGAAAAGAAGAAAAATCAGGAAAGGCAGAGGGAGAGCACAAGGGAAGCAGAATAACTGGGCAAATTTAAGGGACTTAGGTTGAGATTACATGGAGAAAGTTCCTGGCTGGGGAAGATATTATGTGATGCTTTCAGAAGTCTGAGAAGACAACCTGGATGGAGACAGCAAAAAGCCAGTGGGAACAGACAGGTTGCCCAGTTCATTTGGAAATTAAAAGGGAAATAAGGACATATCTAGAGGGACAGGGGTGGCTAATAACAATTAATAATAATTACAGAGTGAATTGCTGAGATGTGCTCACTTCAACTTTAGCACCAGCTGATGGCAATCACTCACAATCTGTACAGCAGGAGCTCCCTGGCAAGAACCACGAACCACAACTTGTAAAACTTATATTTAAAAGCAAACTTTTTGTGCCCCTGCTTCATTCTTACTCCTTAAACTATATTTTATTCATTTTGATTTTTAATAGAGCCCCTGGAAAGTTTGACCCATGTTGTTTCTGGGACAATTGCCCACCAATGTATATGCTTTATAATTCTCTTTATTAAAATCTTTCTTCTTAAGAAACACAAATTGAAACACTTTGCAATCAGTTACACAGATCAGTTAATATTGGTGACAATTCCTACATAATTAAACAAGTACTAACAAATTTCAACTGTTTACAAACCAAAACTTAAATTAACAAGATTATATAAGCTCAATAAATAGTACATCTGGTCCAGTTCAAGTATAATTCAACAAATCACAGCCTTAATCCTTAAATAATAGAAAAAAACCCCCTGATTATAACAGCCTAACACTAATTTAGTGTTAAAGCCAACGTGAAACTTTGTCTGATCTAATGGGGCAAATGTTTAGTTCTTTCATTTTTTTCTTTGAAGAAAATAGGTTGCAGATTGACATTAAAGACTATTTGAGATTAATAGAGATTTCACAGAGATCAAAAACATAGTCCCTACTATAAAAGTGCAATCTTTGGTTGAGATGTATTGAAATGGCTTTGATATATTAAGGAAGCTCCTTTTTAAATATCAATATTTGTTTGGCTAGACCTGAGCCTGTTTTGTGCTATATATATATATACATAAATAAACAGCGTGGATTATAGTGATGATGAATTATGCCAACTAAAAAAAGTCAAGATTTTAAATATAATAAAGCAAAAGAAACAACCCATTTTTACACAAGCTGAGGAAGGTAAGGGCCTGCTTACAGCAGAATTTTTCCTCAGCAAAATAGGTAGTAGAGAGAAGTTGAGGAGTGCCTGTCAGCATTGTATGATGACCTGTTGGAGAGGGAAGGAGATTATCTCTGAGTTCTTGAAGTGCATCAGGCTGAAAACTGATCATGGGCTTCATTAGGAACTAATTGAGACTTGGGATTGCTTTCAGCTGTTGAGGTTTAGGGGAGAAAGGACCTTCTCAGAAAGGGAAGTGCCCATTTGGCACTTTGTTCCCAGATTTTGCAGATTGCTGTTTTGTCAGGACAGAGCCCAAAGAGATGGGGTGTCCAAACCACCTCTCCAAATGTCTGCCTCTGATCACGTCTGCAGGGCTGGGCTCTGCACCTGCATTGCTCACCTGAGTCATCTCCCTCCAGAAGAGGAAACTGCACAGGGCAGAGATGCCATCTAGAGCCACCTCCTTCCTCGGTGGCAAGCAAGGGCCTGTAGCTGTGACCCAAACAAGGTGTCTGGAGCCAGGGCATTTCCTACTGAGCCTCGGTCAAGACTCCACCTCTGGAGACTAAAACTTGAATGGGTGGGAACCAAAGGATACCAAGGCCCACTGTATGAAGAAGGGGTTTTGCGTTGCTGTGAATAAAGGGAGTGAACCTGGTTCAGAACCAGAGGAGGGGGAAAGTAGTTTTAATCATCTCCCATAAGTCCAAAAATAAGCCCCTGGGTAAACACTCACTTTAATTATTCTTCTGCTGCCAGTCAAAATCTTATGGTTACCTGCTGCTTTCCCTGCCTGCCTGTATCCACCTGTTGTCTGTTTTCAGAAAGTGTGATTTAAAGCTCTCTGGCCTGGGAAAGCCTTTGTTGTGGATTTGTGCCTTGCCTATAATAAAGGCAGTGGACCTGTAGCTTCTGCTGCACTACAAATAAAGAATAATAACAGTGATACTTTTCTCATTTGAGGTTACCTGGGGATAAAGTTGCTGGAGGCATATGACTTTGATATACAGTCAGCTATGTCTCACATCCAATTAAGCTTAAACCACATGGTCTAACAAGCTCCCATTAGGCTGCTGAGAGCCCCAGTTTGATAGCAGGGTTAGCTTCAAAGATTTGATGCTTGCATTTGTAGTGATTTCCTCCCTTGTGTTCAGTTTGTGCTGAAGGGCATGAAGAGAACTTCATATTCAGATGATGCATGACCAGCTAGAGAGCTGCACTTTAGAAGACAATTGCACAATCTTTACTGCCATTTTCATCATCTTACAGCCTGCAATACAAGCTCTTGTCCTAATAGCCCTGTGCTCAATTTTCACCGCAATGTGAAAAACAGTCAAAGGAAAACCCAACCCTTGAAGGAAAAATACCTGGTTTGCAATATTGGTGGGTTTTTTCTTCTCCATAGGGGAAAAAAAAAAACACTCCCCACAAAAAATCAACCAAACAAACTCAAAACAGCCCAAAGAAACAAAAAAAAACCCCACACAAACAAACAGCCAACAACAACAAAAAAACCCCCAAAAAACCCTAACCACCAAAACAAAAAAAAAAAAAACACCAAAAAAACCCCCACAAAAACCCAAACTAGATGTTTTAAATGACAGATGGACACAAGTATTAACATACTTCAAGCCTGGACAAAGGAGGATTTAGGCTGCAATGTTTTTAATTTCCCCTTGTCGTTTGGTAGGCTCTGAATCTGGGATGCAAAGAATCCCTCAATTTGCAAGAAGCAGGAATTCCAACTATGAAATCTGAACCTACCTCTGGTAAAAATGAGTGGAAAGCACAGGCCATGGAATGGAACAGGGCTTCAGGCAACAACATCAGGCATCTCTGAGACATACTGCCTGGCTACAGGGTACTTCAGAGAATGAGCACAGCTATTGGCACAAGACATAACAGAACAAATACTTTGGTGGAAGCAGTTTTGGCAATTTAGCCACTTTGCAATATTGTGCAACATCTCTGTCATTCTTAGGGATAGCTAGAACCTTCTGGGAAACTGTTTCCTCTGCACAACATCTGAATAGAACATCCAGCACCAGCAATTTTTACAGAATGTACTGTGATGGATATTAGAGTCAGGCAAAGAATGGAAATGCCTGCAAATCCCCACCTATCCAGATTGCACAGGCATTTTATAAACTCTGGGATCAATCCTGGCAATGGTTTGTATGCATATTCACTTTAGAGCTGATGCCTTCAGAAGGCTGACCTAGAATAGAGGCCAGACAGAGTTAAGAATAAAGTAGGTTTTCTTGAAAGGCCTTAAAGGAATACACCTTGGGCAGTACAAGAGGCTGGCCAGTGCTACAGCCAAGATGGACCTAAAAATGGTCACAAAATGGACGACTGGTCACAAGGTCTCACATTTTTATAAGTTTTGGTCCATCTACATATTTGGGTTAATTTTCCAATTACATCTTCAGATTATGAAGTCCCATCGTTGTTGTTTTCTGTCTTCAGTCCACCATTATTTGTGCTTTTAGGCCTTAAACTTGTAACTGCTGTCCTTGGCATCAAGCTGGAAAAGGAATTGTTTTGTCTACCTACTCTGTGAAGAGAGTTTACTGACACTTAATATGAAGCTCAGACCTACAAACCTAGGCAGCACAGAATCTGAAAAATATGAAAGCTAAAACTTAAGGCATTAGTACACAAAGCCCTATTGAAATGAACCAGAAACGTGTACAGTGCATTTCAAAGGGACTTTGCAAAATACTAAGCAACGACTGTGCAGAAACAATAGGTCATAATAATGCCAGAGCTGCTGGTGCATCCTGTGTTCTCAGTGCAGCGCTCCATGAGCCATCAGTTGTTGTATTCACCTTAAAAAATTCAGGGAAATAAAATACAAAAACAATATTAAAAATCTGGCATCTTTCCATAAAAACCAGGAAAAATTCAACGTTGCCAAGCTGAGGAAAAGCAAGCTTTAAAGAAAACAAAAAGACCCCAAAAGCAAGGATCTTGAATAAAATGTCTAAAAGAGACATGGTCCGAACATGTGGCACTTTAAAAAGCCTCTCATGAGAGTTTCAAGTCTGTAAGACTCAAAGTTGGCACCCTTTAGAATTATCAAAAAGAAGAGTTTCAAACACAACGGTCCCTGGAGAACACCCTGATCACACCATGGAAAATGCTGAAACCAGAGCAGGCTGGCTGTCAGCACATGCATCTGAACTGCTCTTGCTGTGCCGGGTTCAGGCTGTGAGATCCCTGGGACAGACTGTGGCTCCCCTGGAATTCACACAACACCGGCGGTGTACAGTCAGTTCTTGACAACACAAACATTTTGTCATTTCACCAAGCTCTAAGACATGGACATGGGTGCTGATGGGGTTTACTTTATGCCATCTACTCACTAGTTTTAGCAAAATGGCTTTAGATACATATGCAAATTCTACTTCTCACAGGGGCAATGACTGAAATGGCTGAAGATATTTTAAGCAACATTAAAGCCTATAAATAGTCACAATCTCCTTTCCTTCCAGCGTCCACTGGAGGATGCTGAGTGCTTCTAAGTACTCCACCTGACCTGACATGTTACATCAGAACTAAAACTTTAAGAATCCCTGAGAATTCTGATTTAATCTAGGAAACCACTCCCAGCACGCAGAGTGTGAGAAAGAATTGCTCCACTTCTAACAGATATGCCAGCATTGCTTCACCGTGGGAAACAGTTTCAGGCATTTTGGTTTTTAATGGCACTCTGGGCATAGATGCATGGAACGTGCTCTTTATTTCCCCTTCTCTGTACAGTGCAAATTGACAATTATATCATAGAAATTTAAAAAAAAAAGAAAAAAAAAAGAAAAAAAAGTATCAGCATTGACTCATTACAGCTCTTCCAGTTCATCTGCATCATAGCTTTTTCTTTGCAAAGTGAGGAACAATGCCAGTGTCATCCTGAGGCAGAGGGCTGCCTTCTTCCTTCATTTTCAAGCTCTCTTCTGCAAGCTGGGATAGATACTTCTGCAATCACATAAAAAAACCAAAGCATTGTTATCAAAACTGAAAATATTCAGGATTTTTTATGCCTCTTCAGAGTTCTAACTCTCCCAGCATCTCAAAAGGTGAGAAAGCACATAGAAGCCAAATTTTGGTGAAAACTCAAGCCAGAAAATATGGCTGTGTCAGGCAAACTACCTGAATACATGCAGAGCCTCAGAAGTTCAGAGGCTTAGTGTGTGCCACAGGGGAAACTGGTGACAGAACCAGGAGGACTCCCCATCACTCTGTGTAACCAGACCTCACCTTTTCTTTACTCCGCAGTGCTACAGGGCAGGAATTAACTCCACTCAGTCAACTGAATTCTGCTAGGAAACTACTGGAGTATCAGAACATAAAGCGTCAGAGTGTTCATTTAAAGTTTATATATTTTTAGCATGTCCAGTTCAGAAATACACCTTTTGTACGAGAACATTTTGTTTTAAGGGAATAATCACACTCAGTAATAATTAACACAATTTAGCATTTTGGCTAGAGTATTTACATTTCTTGTGTTTCTCTAAGATAAAGCCTTTCACTGCTTTGGGTATTCAGTGAGATTTAAAAGAACAGACATGGCCAGTGAGCCTTTCAGCCTTTTGGCAGTGCTCTTAGTTGGCAGAGCTGCACACAAAATGGATGATGAATGGGTATGGGTCTCAAAATAGTGCTCAAACTATTTATTCAAGGTCAGCAGACATAGAAATGGATGGAAAGAAGCTTCTTCAACAGCAGCTAGTGCGGAGACACCTGGGAAGCTCTAACATAATAATGTAGAGGTATTCTTACTAATGACTTACACACATTGCATACATCATAAGCAAGAATAACTGACCTACGCATTATTAGGATTCATAAAACTCCTTTTATAGCTATTTACTCATTCTTATTTATTTTGAAAATTTACTCATTCTGATTTATTTTGAAAAGACCCTTGCACATCCTTGCAAAATTTTCTCAACTTGCAGGGTTTTCCCAGAGTAGTATACTCTTTGGCATCCATGGGGAAGAGGTTTAATGAGAAATGGATGCAAAAATACTAAAGGCTGTTAGAATTGCCACCTTCTCTCAGGTAAATACAAACTTTGAATATAAGAGGTTCATGTGAAAGATACTCAGCAATGATAATCGATGGATGTACCCCTGACAAAGTGATGACTGCACCCTTGTCAGTCTGAATAGAGAGACTGGGCTGTGGAAATTACACAGCTCTCAGTCTTGATCTCTGGGTGCAAAATTCCATGTGGCAAAATGCCAGAGTAAATGTTACAGTAGTATACAGAGATATAGGGACCATAAAGGCTGGGAGACATGTTCTGTACACCATGAACTGTAATAAATCACTAACACTTGTCCCTGAATCAGATAACCCAAGCTTTTGGGACTTTTAATAAGCACCGACCAAAATAAGACTGAGTTTTATCCACTGCCTTTAGCAGATATTGCCTGCTATCATGAGTACCACAAACGCCAGATTTGAAGATTCAGATTAATAAATAGCAAAATTGCAGTCAAGCAAAAACTGTGGTTTTTTTCATTTAAATACAAGTTTTGACAAATACTGCATAAAGCCAGTGGAAAACAGGATGCAATAGCACACTGAGTTGCCAAGGTAGCTCCCACCAGATGAATGGTGACAGCTTTGTGTAGCTGGAGGAAGTGGAGGAAGGGATGGCAAAAATATGGATTTTTTGGATGTGGGAATTACAGTGTATCAGTAAATACAACTATCACCTGGGAAAATAATTTATTATGATGAAGAGAATTAAAAATTACAAAAAGTCTGTGAGGCTGACAAAGAAACAGCTGATTTTTTTTATCAGTGACTAGTGTTATTCAAGGGGCATCATCACAGATGAAACTGACCATTTTGCTTCAAGGCAAAACTGTCATCATATAAACAAGGCTTTTGGAAGAAAATTGGCAAACAAGCTGTTCAGTTTTGCATTCAAATCCAAACACTGAACATATATTTTGGATGTGGCTCAAGGCAATCACATGAGAGACAACAAGTAGCAAATCAGCTATAAAAGATTCAAAGCCATGACACAATTTGGGACACTGTGGTTGTCACTGGATGATGGCATTTGGCATTCAGGAAGGAGAACAGGAACACTGCAGCAGCACTCCCAAAGCTCCACTGCAGTCAGAGTCCCTAGTTCTGTATTGGTGGATACACTTGTTAACTTTTATCATCACAGGAGAAGACTGGTATTCCTTGCAGAATTCATAAATGAGCATTATGGCAACTAAAAGGGTTCCAGTAACACAACAGTGACTTGAAATTTCCTAAGTTTCCACTTGAGCAGGCAAAAGTTGGACGAGACATTTACTTCCTGTATTTAGTAAGATAAGAGGTATGGCTCAACAGAACAGCCTGTTTTTATTACTGCATTTGGCAGATTTAATTTTAACAGCTTTTATAGCCTTTGTTCCTTTATCTCAAGTCAATGTCAGATATCTACCACAGTACTCATGGGAAATGTCTTAAGAGGAAGAAGAAGAGGTTGTTTTCACACTAAGTCAGTTTTAGTTGGGCCTGTTCTTTATGACTTCAACAAAATAAGTTAGAAAATTGAAAAAAACAAAATGCCTCTTCTTCCCATGGAGCCAGTTTCCAGGGTCAGGGGCAGGAGTTGCAATTTTTCTTTAGTATGATTTTCTAAGGGACAGACTTGCATGGGATGCACAGCTTGCACTGAGTGGTGCCACCTCTGGTGAATCCCTCTGGACTTTTTTGTATGAAGCAAAAAAGGGAATGCAAACTGGGCACCTGTTTTTCAAGCTTGCACTTGGAAGGTCCATTATGAGCAAGCATCAAAGCTCTGTAGGAACCCTTTGGAAGCCAGAGGCCTTTGTATGATTACAGCTACGAAACTTCAGGAAAGCCAAGAAAATTCTCCCAGAGAAATTACTTGACTGTGAGCGTCACTAGAGAAGTCAATGCCTATTAGCCAGCTAAAGAAAGAAAGCTATTACTTGAAGAGAAACAGAGTTACCACATTTACTGTGGGCAGAGGGAAGGAACAGAGAAAGGAGGAGCAGCTCTGCTTTGCTCTGCCATGACTTTTGCTAAGAATATGAGAATGTCAGCACACATGTGTGTGTGTGTGTTTGTGTGTGTGTGTGTGTGTAGTGTACACACCCAGCTCACAGGCAGGGACTGGGGGTGGTAGCCAAGACCATCTCCTCTGAGGATCCCTGAGCACAGGACAGGTAATGCTCAGGCTGTTGTGACTGAGTCTATCAACCATGCATCTCAGAAACAATAAAGGCAGGTCTTTGATTCAACTGCAGGCACATGTGGTCTCCATGTGCTGTTATCAACTGCTGACATGTTTTGTTACATTCTCATGGAGCAACAAGCATTGACATGCTCCTGCATATCCTGATGGAAATTACTCAGCAGTGGTGCTGCGCACACAGGGAGGGGATTTCAGTGGGTCACAGGAAATGCCTCGCAGAGCCCGAATGTCACACGGAGCTGCAAGCTGAAACACGCTGAGAAACCCACATGAAGACAGAAATGGGCCTGACTACACTATCAGATAAATGCCATGTTTAATGCTCCTGACATTAAGACATACTAAAGGCTGCTGCTGTGGTCACTCCCAGTGACAGAAACATCTGGGACCCTCTGAAACAGGGAATTAAAGAACTGAATTGCATGCTGTGCTAGTGACAAGGATCAAATGTATACGAGAAGATTAAATTATCAGCTGGCCTCATTTTACCTATGACCCAGAAGCTGATTTCAAGGATCTGAGAGTGAGAAATTAGCAAGCTAATGATTGGGACTACTGAAAAGTTTGCTTACCTGAATTTCACTTCATCTGAATTCTGTCCACACAGTAAGAACCAATTTTTTATTGCATCATCTACCTTACACACAAACTACCCCATGAGCTTGCTGTTCAGTAGCTTTAGGTGTGTTCTTACCTGGAGATTTTTGTAGTGAACAGTACTCCTGCAGTGACTTGTCTTTGCTGTCTCTTCACTTGTATAGAAGAGTCCACAGAGCTTGCAGTAAAACCCAGTTCTAGGCACCACAAATTCCACACCTGTTGAGAAATTCTAAATTATATTAAAATGTCAGTTGAAATCCCACCCCTCCCATAATAAACTTGTTTTCAAAGAAAAAACATGCTACGTAGTTAAATGTTAGGAATAGGAAGACTGAATCCTGGATTCACTCTTCTAATTTCCCTAATTTTGCAATATTGAGCTGCACTTTAAAATCCTGTGCATTGAAAACACACCTTTTCTCTTCTCTCTTAGATACACATGCTTTAAAATCTACCTTCTCATAATATTGACTGGAAACTTCACTCTGTAACCTCAAGGGCTAGAAAGGCAATAATACTTTTTAGCAGTAAATTAATGTTTAAGTTACAGGGATTGCTTTTGAGGATGTATGTCTTTCAGGTATTTTGCTCATAAACAGCATTTACACAGTAAAGCAAATACCTTTGCTTATACTTTTATGGCAAAGACTTTTACATTACTAAGTATTTTTTCATATGTATTTCATATATAGTCCAAGGGAACTTATTTCATCTCATCAGCTGCCTTTTGCCATTCATTTAGAATGAATTAGCAATGATCTAGAACCAAAAGCCTGTTTCTTTCAACAGCTACCCGTCTGTCATATACCCTGTTCCTTCTCTCCTCTCATCTGTTCTGAAAAATAAATATAGCAAGTAGCCTTAAAGTGACATCTTGTTGTAAGCCCTGGGTATTGCAGTGGGCGGCCCAACGTACCCAGGGGAATGCTGAGCTCGAAGACGTCCTCTTGTTCCCAGCCTGGTGCAGAGGGCCTTTGTTTGGAGTCTACCTCCGGGTATTCCAGAGATCTCATTTCCAAGAACCTAGAATTTGCTTAACAAATGAATAAATGTATTGAATGAAAACAGTTTATTAAAGAGACATTTGTAAACTTCTTGGGAACACTTTCTGGGTGGATCTATAATTGAAATAAAATCAGGAAAAAAATGCTTTTCCATTCAAATCAGAGGCCTGTTTAGTGCAACTCCAACAGCTGTACTATGGTGTTCAGTCACTTCGATTTCTCCCAGTAGAGCATTTTTCTATTTTTAAGTTAATGTTATGTTTGGAGGGGTTTTTGTATTTTAATCTCTAAAGACAGCTAAATCACACACCTCTGGCAGGAGCACGGCCTGACTGAAGCTTTGTAACCACATATACTACTGCATGACCCAGTGGTGCAGCTGGGCTGACACAGGGGCTGCTGAGATGCCGGGGGCAGCAGGACCTGATGAATACAATTCCCCAAACCTGCCTTTTGTAGGATCCTTGCAGCATCATTACCACCTTCTCCCTGGAGCCACTCTTCTCCCATCCTCACCTCTCCAAGGGATAGTTCCTGCTTTATGGCTTCCAGCCACTAAAAGATTTTGGTTTCTGAATAGTAGGGCTGGGATGGCTGGTCCCTGCAGGCTGACATTAACGGACACAGCAGGAGATTCAAGATGTGGAAACACTGGATTGATTTGCTGAGGCAGATATAGTTAGTCAAAAGAACAGATGCTCTCCCTTATCATGATTTCTATCATAAGAATTACTTTTATTTAAAAATAGAGAAATTTTCTATCACAGAGCTACAAAATTACAGACAAACTAGTCTGATTCCTCTTCTTCAGTCCTAACATCAAAGAATTGCCTCACTTACCCTAACAAAATTTCTATTGCATTGCAAATTTGCCTAGATAAGGGATATATTTTCTTATAAAACAAACATATTTTGCCCAAACCAAACCCTTCCCGTCTTTCAAGTCTGTAGTTCAAAGATCTGCAGTTCCTGGCTACGAGAATGACTTTTTCTTTACTTTTAAATATGTCTATTGCATGATTTAGAAGAAAATAATATAAAATCCTGACTGGTTGGCTTTCAAATTAACTTTAAATCTACCCCAGGATTCTAATACTGCAGCAGAGAACCTGAAAAGCCCCCAGCAAGCTGGTAAACTTTCCTTAAGACACTCAGGGCCTTTGCAGCAATTTAAGTCCCACTTAAATTTTCTGGGCTTCTGAGCTGGCAGCTGCATTTGTAGAGGGCCTAGAGCCTTGGAGTGCAGATCCCAGATAACAAGTCCATGTCAGAAACCTGGGAAGCATGAGAGGCCCTGGAGCTTCCAGGCTCCCTGCTGACAAGCTGGAAGCTGAGATACTGGAAACACTAATAAATATGCTCCTGAGACACCCAGTTCTTTCATCAGCTGGCTGCCCAGGAAGCCCAGGAGAGCCAACTTTGCCCTGCCCAGTCCCATGGCAATGTTATCTCCAAATATGCAAAGTCTGGTGTCTTCAGGCCAATCAGGTAAGTATTAAAAACCAATGAGTTTCAAATCTGTCCTAGAGGAAGGAGTTAGCTCAAAATCAGATGTTCACATGAAATGTTTCTAGCACTGCACCCTCAAAAATCTTCCATTAGCTTCTTTTCACAAGCCCTTGTGCATCACATGGGCTCTGGCAGCAATTAAAAAAGAGCATTTCTGACCAACATACTCAATGTTGTTTTTCACTTCATCTTACTATGAACAGCCCATTTGCTCAAGTATCATTCGACAAGAACTGAACTGACTTTCAGACCCTCAAGTTCCCTCTTTTCCTGACAGCTAAAATATAAATAGGTAGCTATGATTACATTTATTGACATTATCTCACAGCACATCCTATCAGTTATATTAAAGGCAGCATGCAGTAGATAACAGGACATGATAAGGCAAGTCCTGGCAAAAGACATGTATTTGCATGAACAGGGACTGAGAAGTAACGATCTGTGTGTGATATCAATGTTAATAATGCTTCAGTACAGTGTGTAAGAATACCCACCTTGTCCAGGAGCCAGCCAGACATTACAGATACTTTTCTGTTGACCTTCTGAGACTGTCACTCATTTCATTGACAATTCAAAATAAATTTAGCAAGGCACTGAAAGACTTCAGCTAAACTCATGTGAACCTTGACATAATAATTATAGCAGCTTATGCCTTTCAGAAAGCTTGCAAGCTGCTTATCATATTTCCTTTACACTATTCATCTAAGAGGCTCTAATGGTTTAGCTTGGCCAAAGGCACTAGGGTTCTTTTACTAAGCTGCTTCAAGGACAAGCCTTGATACTATTAACAACACTTATTCTCGTTAGCAATAAATTTCAGTCTACCCTCAGAGAAAACATTCAAGGCTCTCTGCAGGCTGAAGGGAAAAAAAGCAGTAGTTACCCTTGGCCTCTGGACACTCTTGGCTTCCATGTCTTGTTTCTTCACTAGCGTTTTTAATGAGTGTTTCCGTAACTTCTCTGCTCTCAGCCCCTTGTGATCCCGTCTGTTTGTAATCATCTATAAATGTATCAGGGAGCTGAAGAGTCTCTTCTTTCAGATGAACAGAAGGTATATGGTGATCTTCAGGCTCTAAATGAGTGTCAGAGCTCTTATCAATTTTTCCTTCCTTCTGCTGGCAATCAGACTCCTTAGCAGATTGGTCTTCTTTCAATTCCTCTGGCTTCTGTTCAGGGTCCAGATTTAGGCTTGATGCTTCAGTTACAGCATCATCATTATCATCATCCTCATCATCTTCCTGACAGCCACTAGAAGCTGCACTGCCCTTTGCTGTTCTGAAGTTTGTTTCCAAAGCTTTATGGGCAAATTTGTCTTCACTCCTGGTTAAGTGGCTGTGATCGTTTTTCAGTTCTAACACGGTTGACATACAGGGACACATTTCTGAAGCAGCTTTATTTCTTTGATCAACTGAAACTATTTCTTCAAGCTCAGTTATATCAGGCTCCATAATTAAATCATCTTCTCCCACTTCATCTACTGTCACTAATTCCTCCATGTTAGCAAGATACCAGGTCTCACCTTCTATTTCACTTCCACTCTCCCAGTCTCGGTCCTGCCACAAAGATGTAAAACATTTGAGAGATTGGTGATTATAGATCATCACTGTTAAAAAGTGGGCCTTGAAACCAGGAAGAACCTTAATATGGCCATACCTAACTCCTCTTGTATTTTAGTTTCAGAGTGATGTGCCTTGGTGTTGTTATTTTAAACCTTATGGACAAGGACAAAAATTCTCTATTGAATTATCACATCAACTTCCCTTTGTGAAAATTCTGTAACTGCCTTGGGGATTACAGTCTCTCCAGTCTCCTGCTTCTTGTTTTTGTGTAAGCAGTAGAGCAAGGCACAATGTGTTACACTTTGTTATGCAATTGATGCAGCTATGTGATCCCCTTCCTCTACCTCCATCTCAGTGTAATGAAAATATACTGAACCCCATTCGAGCTACTGTGGTTTTCACTTTGCTGGACCAGGTCCTTTAAATTCACATGGTGATTGAGAAAACATGGCTTCCTTCTGCAGTCATTTCCTTCCACCAGCAAGATCCCTCTGCCAGGGAATGTGCTGGGAGCCACTAGCCTAAACTTTAGGAAAAAGCAGGTTTACAGTTATACTTCAAGGTACATATTCTGAAATACCTCGTACATGCAGTTACTGAGTTACAGGACTCAGGCACTAATACTGGACTCGAGAAATCTTAGAATTAAAAGGCATATCTTACTTTTAAGACACACTTGCATCTTAGATTTCAACTCCCAGACTCCTTGTGTACACATAATCTATTAATAATCTGTATTCTCCTAATGTTTGGCCATTCCCACACTTCCCCTCCTAGAATCCTAAAACAGCATGAAAACTCTGTGAGCTGGCACTGCTCTTGCCAGGAGATCAGTTTTCTGCAGCAACAGATATCAATATCTTCCATATCTGACCATCAACCCATGACCCTACAGATATGAAGCTGGAGGAATTCCAGGGACATTGCTCTCCCCAATTGCAATGCAGCAGTAGGGGTGCTCTAAAGGTATTATTTAATTAAAACCAGAAACAATCAGGAGACTGCTATCTATAGTTCATAAGGCCAGTGTTCTAAAAAGTATTCATCATAGTCCCCTCTTTCCCCACTAACTGACCACATCTCCTATTTTTGGGCATGGTTTGCAAAGTTACCCAGTTCACTTGGGCATACATTCCTCACAGCTGCCACTGCCAAGTGCTATGTATGTGAAGCAATGTACATGAGCAAAGAGTAACTAAAAAAAGAGTTCTGGAGACTTCAGGAAAAGCTGTCCCTTAAAGCAGAGGTCAAGATAAGGCAAGTTAATTTAGACAACCTCCTTCCCCAAGCCCTTTATGTGTTTTTTCATAAGGGGTTAATATTTCATTTGGGAGAACATGCTACCAAACCTGGGGTTTCAATTATTTTCTCAAAGAAGCTATACCAAGAATGTGTCACCAACCTTCTCTTTCCTTGTGTTTTCCAGAATCTCTCCAGATTCTTTTTCTTGTGTATTATCTGAAGGTGGGCTCTTCACTGGAACTTGCTCCTCTTTTTCAAGCTAAAATAAATACATATAGACGTATAGCAACACACAGTGGTGCTCTAGTATGTTTCTATTCTGGATTTAAAGAAGCAAAGTCACTCACAAGGTCACATTCTTTATTTCTAAAGTTTATGCAAGTCAACTTAGGCTGCGGGAAAAGACCCAACAATAAATTCCATTAGCAGAGCTGCACAAATACGAATTAAAAAAAGAATTTTAAACAAAGTTAGAGGTGTAATTTATATCACAGAATTGGCTAAAAGACAGGTGGGGGAGAATGTCAATTCACTAAAATTTCCAGCCTCCACTCTTCTGTTCTCTACCCACATTTGTTATGTTGGCTCAGATGCGGTAAGGAGAGCAGCAGTGTTAAAACTCTGCAGAAGACCTCAACTGTTTTGTTTATTGACATAGGATCTGATGAAAATGGAATTGGTGGTACAGTTCATACTTTAGAAGAACAAAACCACAGTAGTACCTGGTATTTAGTAAAAGAGGGACAAAGCAAAAGTGAGTTCAAGACATACAAAACTATTTCTTACTATAAAAATAAATTACTAGCAATAGTCCCCAGAGACGCATGTCTTTAGCAAAGCCTCTGTAAAATAACTTTGAAAACATGCAGAGGAGTGTGATTTAGGATGTGGTCTGACATTTCTCTCTGACATCTCCTCCCAAGGAACCATACATCATAGTAAAATACCAGCCAAAGGAGAAAGATGATAAAATGTGGTACAAACATGCTTATCTATGGCATGAGGCAGTGCTGCTGCTGGTTACAGACTAGCAAGTTACAAATATAGGAAATTCCACCAACTTAGCCCCACATGAAAAGAAGGTCAACTGGAAACAACCAACAAAGACACAAGAGATGGAGCCCTGACCAGCCAAGCAGCTCTGCAGCCCCTTGTGCCAAGAGCCCTGGGGGTGGATGGCAGCAGCTATCCCTGGGGGACTCCAGGGGCGGCAAGGTGGCCGAGAGCCAGTAACCAGATCCCCAAGGGGTGGGGATGTGAGTATGGGCTGTACTGAGGCTGAGCAAATGAGGCATCTGGATGCGTTCCCCCTCCACTTTTTCCCAGTGGAGAATCAAACCCACAAACATTGCCACTACACCACTGGAAGTATTTTTCCAGAGATTGCATAACTTTATAGGTGAGCTGATTCAGTGGCTTCTGTCACGGGAAGAGATTTCTGCCAGAATATTGAAGGGAGTGGTGTGAATTATCCCTGCCACAGCTGAGGGTAGTGACACATGACTAGTAGAAATAATTGCTCTGTCGAGTTATCCAGAAAGAAACATTTCTCATTAAAAGTTAATTCACTATTTTGAAAGTATAGCAACCACTTCCCTGGATAAATACTGTGCAGCTCTGTAAAGTTAGTTCTCCTCACTGGCAGTGGAAGCAGGTGATGGATGCAGAAAGGGCAGCTATGGGGCATTCTGCACAGAGTTAGCAGGACAACACTTGCCTCTTCACACACAGTCTGCATGCAAATAGCAAACTGTCACTTGGTTTTGTTTTCAGTTCTCTGTCCCTGTCCCTTCATTTGTTACCCAAAGGTTCTATGCTAGAACACAGAATGATGATGTCCATATACCCAACACCATGACAGTGAAATAGATCTGCATGATCTGGCACGGGCAAGATGACTTCTCAAGACTTCCTCTATGACTACATTCCTTAATTTTATCATGGAAAAACACTTCATATTGCTGGCACCCACAACAAATGCTTTAAGATATTTCAGAAAATATATTACTTCAGCATTTATACTTCTTCTTACATAAACTTTTAGATCTCTATTTACCTCATTCTCAGTAGGTTTGGTTTCCTTCACATCACTGCCTTCAACAGTAGCATCTTCTTGGTCTTTTTCAGTTTTCTTCACCTTATTCTTATCGCTTTGTTTTTGTCTGGAGCCCTCAGATGCTTTGCTGTGCTTCTGTTCAGCTGCCTCCTCCCTGGCAGTGTCCTTGCTATAAGAATGCCTGTGTTCCCTTAACTTTGCCTCTTCCTTTCTCTTAGATCTCCCAGACAAATCCTGCAGCTGCCTCTGAAACTTCTCAGATTTTGACTTAGAGGATTTTCGGTAATAGTCATCTTCCCTGTTCTTGTAGCCAGATAAAGGGTGAAGGGACCCAGGGGAACCAGTCCTTAAGTATTTTTCTCGGTGTCCTCTGCCTCCTTCAAGCTGTTCATCCAAATCAAACTTATCCAGTTGCCGGGAATAATGTTTCCTCTCGTGTACCCACGTATCAGTCCTGTCTCTCTTCTCATCCCCATTTTCTCGCCATTCTCTGCTATCTCTTTCCTCTTCCCGTCGAGAATAGGGGGACTGATCCCATGCCTCTCTGCCATTTCCCCAGTCGGTCCTGCCGGTCCCCAGCGGGCTGTGTGGTGAGCTGCAGGAAGTGAAGCTGGGCGTGTGGGATCGAGGTGACAGTGAGCGGCTTATGGGGCTGCGGGAGCGGGGCCTCTCAGTGCCATACCTGCTGCAGGGGGAAAAGGCAGCTGTAACTGGCTGACCCACTGTTGTCTACCAATTCTTGTACACTGGAAGCTCATGGGGACTGCCCTGGGGACTGCGAACCTGAGACCCCAGGCCTTTCACAGACATGCACTGCACAGCTGCAAACAGTGAACAGGAGAAAAGGCAGTGTCATAGCCACAGAGCTTAACTAAATCCCCACAGAACTGTCAAGAATATATTCATTCATTCTTAAAAGCGTCTCATAGGGGTTTAGCATTAAAAGCCCCATAATATGTTAATACCTTTACAATGACCCTAATGTGTGTACCCTTAATACTCACTCAGCTAGGGCATCTCTGACACAAAAGTGACAAAGGCCACCTGTTTAAAAGAGATGTTTTAGGACTGTGATTCCTCTCCAATTTTGCTGAAAGTTCCAGAAGTCAGAGAGATCAGAAATGTACCCAAATACATTTTAATCTGAACTGCCTCCTTCCCATTTGGCCTCAAAGCACCCCCAGCCTTTATGCTTTTCACTCAACAGGAAGGAGAGTAAAATAGCTTCATTTTTGTGTGCTTCACATTTCAGATATATTTTCTGAGGCATAAGCAGTAAGAAAGAGGTATTTTCTTAACATGCACAGTTTCAGTTGGATCTCATCATACAGACCCCTGTACCTGCTCTTGAACTATATAAAAATATATACTATTTTATTAGTGAAATCTGAATTAGGAAAGTCAATGAAATAAGAAAGGGAAGCACACAGATAATTCTTCTACCTGTAGGTTTACAAGCTTCCAATTCCAAACTTTGGAGAAACTTTACCTGTCCACTTCACGTAGGAGGTCCCTCTCCCTCTGCGAGTGGATGTCCTGGATTATAGCAGCCACATTCTTACCTGGTCTCTAATAAAAACAAAGACACTGTTTAGCATGCGGCTCTATTCTCCAAGCTGATACAGGTGATTTGTCCTTCAAGAAACAGTATCTGTGCTTCATTCAATTACACTATAACTAGAAATATTTAGTTTCAGTGCTGTGGTTACACTCTCTTTTGCAGTTGCCTCTCAGCAGCACGATCAAAGCAGTAAAATGATACAAATGGAAAATTTGCTCCATTACGTTGTAGCACTCTCTCTTCATACTTGGCTGCTCTAACAGGCTTTGAAAACTAGCTTGCTCTCAAACCTTCTTACACAATCACTACAGAGCATTTCCTAGGAACTGGATCTAAGAGGAAACAAAGCAGACAATTTTTCTGATACAGAATCAAATATGTATAGCAGCTTATCTCTGATCCTCTAGGTATGAGCTACCTTCTCTTGATCTCAGAGTCACTCATTCTGGGGTATAGCTCTCAAGGACTATGTTTAGACAAGGAGAGCTTCAGACAAGCTAAGTGCAAGATGTATACTGGGGATGTCAATTACCCCTAGGTAAGATGCTCTACACAGGCCAGAGTGCCTCAAACACTTGGAGCACACACAGATGAGCAACATAATCATGCAGGAACTCAGCAGTTTGTAGCAGTATATAGCTCATGCATATTTCCCTCTTCATATTTTTATTTGTTTCTGTTCTTGTGTAAAGCAAAATAATTCCATGACCTGAAAAACTGAAAAACATTGGAGAAGCAGAAAAATCTTCCAGGAATCTAGGCAAGCTATCACATTTTCCTGGGTAATTCCTGCCTCTCTGTCAAGGTGCACAATCTCCACCACCTAACATCTGAACACCTCCCTGTACCACATTAGGAAAGTCTGCCCTGATTCATGAACTTTTGGCAACTCCTTTTAAGTCCCCTGGAACTAGTATACACATACAGGAGAGAAAGAGGCTTTTCCAAAGGTCAAGTCAAACCATCCAAGTTCCTCTATTTTTTTCCCCCAAAAACTCATAAAAGGACCCTTAACATTAAATTGGAACATTACAGAGCTGTTCTATAAAATAACTTTGTACTGTGTTAGGTAATACAATATGAAGCTCTGCATTGCCAGTTCTGGTCCAAGTCACCATGAAATAAAATTACTGTCTTAACATTATATGGCAGTATATAAGCCTCTATAAATACTTTCACAAGAGCAACAATCTTTGGACATCACTCAAGCATCCACAACAGAAGTGTCACACACTCTACAGAAAATCTAAATCATATTACTCTGCTTTGACTCTATTTTAAAAGAAAAAAGAAAAAAAAAAAAAAAGATAAAAGATCTTGCTTTATAACCTAGGTCATTCACAAGAAATAAAAATAAATCAGCATGCTGTTTAGTCCCATTACCATTGCTTGGTGTCAAGACTGTGCTATGGCTCAAGCATGCATGCAGTGAAAAAAGCATTGTTCTGGGCTTAATGCCTGACTAAAAGGATAGAACCATCTGATTCTTGGTGACATGTTGTATCTACACATGGCTGTCTTTTAGACCTTTGTTAGACCAAGCAATGTAGGGAGCCTGCTCACAAAGAAGCTCAGAAGGGAGTTCTGAAATAATGGTATGAAAGGATCAGAGAAAATGTGGTCTCTTCCAAGAGTTACAATTTAGATAGAGTAAGAGCAAGCAGCTAAGTGTAAAAGATAGATAATATAGACTAAATAATTTATCTTTATTTCTTTTTCCGTAATAGTAAAGCATTAGTTAGAAATCAGTAATCAGCAAGAATCTTTTAAAATTTATTCTCTAGATGTGCCATGGAAACTCACATAATTTGATCAGGAATGACTATCTTACCTTCAGCTGCAACTCCTTGTATCTTTTAGACATCCTAATAAGCAACTTGTCATCATTTATCATAGCAGGTTTTTCTTTGTAGTACTGTACCATGGCTTGGGCTGCTTCACTGTAAGCCATTTCCAGAAAGGCCTGGCACAAATGGAGAGAACTTTACAATCTATTGCATAATTAAAAGTACAAAGTATAAGAGAGAACAGGCAGCACAATAAATTTTCTCTGGATTCTTCTCATGCAAAATATCTTGACAGTACAAAACTGGGTAGCTTTCCAGCCTGAAGCTGAAGTGATAACACTCAGTCCATTTCTCAGTCTTTATTTAACTGCAAATAATGGTTTTAAACCAGCTATTAAAGCCAATATGTGACCTTAAAAGTTCAGTTAAAAACTAAATGGCTGGTATTTAATATTTCTTGACTGGCAGTGTTCAAGGCCAGACTGGATGGGACTCTGAGCAACATCTTTCTAGTGGAAGGTGTCCCTGCCCATGGCAGGGGTTTAGAACTAGATGGTCTTTAAGGTCCCTTCCAATCCAAACCATTCTATGATTCTGTGATTTTTAAACATTACAATCTCAAACATTTTCCACTGGCATGGAATCTACATCCATCCATTTTGTGTTCTGCAGGAATGTGAGTGAAGATATTCTATTCTTACCAGCTTAAACCACTGGTACACTTAAGCTACTTAGGGTAGACTCAAGCTACTATAAAGAACAGGAGAAGTCTGAAAATAACCCTAGCAAATGGCTGCAAGAAGGCAGGAAGTAATTCACTTAAAAAAAAAAAAATAGCAAAAGTACAGTTTTACACTTTTTCATTGAGATTGTTGGGATTTTTAAACAAGAACTTGTTTAGATGTGGTCATGTTTATGTCCTCACCTAATTCAGTGACCACCAACTTTTTTTTTACTTTAAGAGTGGTTTTCATATATTTAAGTTTCTATTACTAAATAAGAAATTCCCCCCAAATCCTCTATCTTCATATTTATGTCTTCATATCTTTATGTCTTTATGCCAATAGATGTCAACACTGGTAACCCCAAATGTACAGTACCTGGTTAGTAGATTTCATGAGGATATAGTTGGTGACCTTCCCAAATGGGAGGCCCAGGTTGATGACATCATTCTCTGTGCAGCTTCCCTCGGGGAGGTTGCAAATGTGAACAACTCGACCCTGTGTAGATTTCCTCTGGGGAAACTGGGGAAAAAAAATCCAACTCAAACCAATGTTCTTATCTTAGATATTCTATCCATTCAATAACATCTTATATTTCTGAAAAAAAAAAATAAATTAAATGAAACAAGTTGCAAAAGAATCTCTGTCCTTGGACTTTGCAAAGCCCAGAGAGGATTTCTAGAAAAGAGACTGTCCTCCTAACAGGATCAGCCATATTCCTGCAAAAACTAACTGCTCACTGCAGTCTTTGCTGGATTTATGGATATTAGAAACAAGTTTAGGTGACTACATGGGTGTTCAGGATAGCAGGGACTGAATTTAAATCCTTCTTCATGGTGGACAGTGAGGACATGCAGAGAGGCAGAGCTCCCAAACTGGGCTGGCACAGGCACAGAGCACTGGAGTGGTGATCACTTCCCAAGGGAAGTCTATTTTGGAGTGCTGGGGCAGTTCCGAAAGAGCCACCCATCTCCCTGGCATGGAAAGCAGGCTCTACACTCCCACAGCCAGAGAGAAAGTTAATTTACCATAGCTAATGACAAGCAAAATATCAATCACATAGGATTAAATCTTTCCAAACCATCTCTATGTTTATGACCTCTGCATTAGGATTTTACTGAAGAAGTAACTCTACCTTCAGTTAAAATTGTGCCATTCAAGGGAAGATGCAAATCATGTAATCTTGTGGGATCAAGTTCACCAGAGCCATCACAAATGTTTGGCTTGTCAGCAAGTTCACAAGTTACAGAGCTAATGTTATCTTATTTACACCTCCATCCTGTTGCCTTCCTTCCAGACTTCTGCATTAGGACCCTGCATTACACAGTGATCTGCTACTTAGCTTGCATCTCACAAAGCCCACCCAGGTGCACAAGGTAAGTCAAAGAAGTGCAAAAGTTCAGAAGTAAGGTATTTTTTCTGGCAGAAAAATAACAAAGGCCTAAACCTGAAAAAAAGACGAAGCAACTCAACTCCAGTTGAACAGAAAATGTGATGTCTGCACGCATCTGGCAAGGCAGCATGTAGCACAGAAAAGAAGAACACTACTACAGCTAGAGGAAAAGGAAACATCAAATGCTATTCCAGTGTAAGAACACCCCAGGTCACCAGTCATCTTTTGTTTGTTTCATTAGATCTGTTAAAAGATGGTAAGTAAGAATCTATTGGACTAGAAAGGCTCAGCTCTCTCTTGCCTTGGCTCCAGAGGCCACATTCCCACACACAGCCCTCAAGTACATTAAATCAAACAACTGTAAGATGTTGCCACTTCCCCTCAATTGGCAATGGCTTAAATTAAAATGCTATGCCATAAACCTGCTGCAGTTCTTGATTAAGAAGTGGTCACATACTCATGCCAGAAGTCAACAGGCTGTAGCAATAATCTTGCCAGCTGATTGCAGTTAAACTGGATCCATTCATTAAACAGAGCTGTAAATCACGGCCAGAAAAGGAATATACACCTTCCGTATCTACAATCAGGAAGTCAGAGGAGCTGTTGCATGCCAGGTGTTGAATGTAATTTTCAATAAGAATCAAAGTTAACTTACTTGGCAACCAATGTCTACCATGGGTTACCAATACAGCTGTATTGGTATTACATTAATATACATGGCTATTAAATAAAGAAATCTAAAAAAAATTATGCACAGCAGAAAAATGCACCTCATATTATTTATAATATTATTTCACCCATCCAATTGGGTGGTTTTTTTTATTACAGCTGTTTTCTTACATTTGTTGTTGCTGTTTCTTGTTTTTCAAATTATTTTCCCTTTCTTGAGCTTCACATGAAATTTTTCTAAAGATAGTAAGAAACTGTCAATCTCATCCCTCCAGTGCTAATGGCTCTCCACGCCCAAGTGAAGACTGGTAGCACTTGCCTTTTACAGAGGGATAGAGTTATTTGCAGATGGACAGCACAGAGCAAGCTCTTCCAGAAATCTGAACACTTTGTTTATGATTACATGCAGGGTCAAGTGTAATCTCCTACTGCTCAGTTAAATGGCAGCAGCTTAGCTGAAAGTGAATACTACCGTGCAAAGGTGCAATAAATTATGAGCCACCTGGGTTGCAGAGTGAATGACAGCTGGCAAACTCAGTCTTAACACCTCTAATATAGCTCCCTGTTCATCCAATAGCCTTCTGAAGAAAAAAAAGGGATTTACAGCGTCCAAGAAAATCAAAGTTATTATTTCTTTAATGTCTCAAAATACTGCAGGTCATTCAGAAGGAGGACTTCTTCAGGCAGCTTAAATGATAAACAGTGACAGATTCTAAAGAAAAATGACACTGGTATTAGCAGTAATTTCATTTGTTGTGAAGTTGACAGACATGATGAAAAGGAACATTCCAGTGCACCCACTGCTAGTCCACCTCTGACCTTGGAGGCAGCTGTCATGAGCAGCTCTGCTCTTTGCTTGCCTGCACTCACAGTGTCTGTGACAGGCAGAAGCTGAAACCCCTTGAAGTAACCTCTTGCACAGTAAAACTGTGCAGTAGGAAATGGGTTGGATTAAGGAAATCTGGGTGACTTTTCTTCAAACAGTGCCTGATGTGAACTGGAGTATCACAGGGACACAACTCAGCCTGGCTTTTCAGAATGTCTGAGACTGCATCAGGAGAGATATATACATAAAAGTTAACAAGGTGAAAACTTGAACCCTTGGATTACTGCTGCTATTCCATGAACGCCCAAACATAAGTCCTTGGTGTGTCCAGCTCTAGTTGTAGCTTTCTGATATGTGATGTGTTTCATTTTAACCCTAACAACTTTGGATTTTCATTATGAATATGGTTTGCTTTTATTTGCCTTTTTTTCCTTCTAAAATATTTCTGCTTTGTCAGTGTAAGAACCCCTTTTAATGTTGATTCTTTTTTCTGGCATTTTTGATTATAGAGATAGGAATTCAAGGGTGCGTTAGAGGAGTATAACTGGGGACCTGTGTTGAATGCAGGGCAGGGACTGATAAACCTAAACCATGGAAGGCTCCACATCAAAGCAAACTTGCTGAAAGGCTACCGGTGACAGCAGAGGATATAAATACTACACTAAAATAAACTAAGGAAAAGTTAGTCCAGTATAATGAACTGATATGGGACCTCCAGGTGAATAGCGCTGAAGCTGCAGCCACTGTCTTTGCCTCTATTGCTACCTGGGAGAAGGACCTCAGCATGAGAGAGGCAATTATACTACAAATAAAAAACCAGAGAGACAAAAGGTTGCTTAATGGGGTTAATACTGAAGGTAACTGAAAGCTAATCCGAATCTTCATTCCAAGATGAAATTGACTGTCCTGGGTCAAAAACACTCAGACAATGGGGGGGGAAAAGTCAATGGAAAGCACACACAAATCTATTTACCCACTTCCCCAAATAACTCTGACAAGCAAACAACTTTTAGCACTGGAAAAGAACAAAGCAAAACAGAACCTACAATGAAGTTCATATTTGGTCAAAATCAAAAGCATAAAAAAACATACAGAGAAGTTGAAATAACAGAGTGAACATTTAGATTATTGTCTAAAATAAAGCCTTCAAGGTTTTCATTCCAGTAAGCAGAAGTGGCTTCTACAAGGATCTCAACACAGACATCAATTTGCTTAGGTACTCACTCTTACCCCTGATGAAGGAGAAGAAAATGTAGGACCTGGCTGGCCAAAGGATCTTGCTGGTGTAGCGATAAAAGATGCACCAACATTTGGTGGATAATCTAAATAATGGATTACACACATTTCATTAAAATCTTGGCTCATATTAATTGCATTAATGTGCTTGGTAAGAAATGCCCCATTTACATAGTAAATAATTTCATAGTCTTTAGACCAAATTATACACTGTTTTTGTTGTACTATGAAAGCAAGTTATTGTTTGAAAGAAAAATAAATTCATATTTTAAAGGGCACTGTATTGGCTTTCATTCTTTTTTGTGCACTACTCAAAATTTTTCCTTGGAAACTTCTATCACATTTCATTTTAAAATGCAGTTCTCCTCAGAGACTGATTTCCCCTTCAATTAAAAAAAAAGTGTTTTTAACTATTGCACATACAACCATTCACCTTCAATACTAGATGGATTGAAAACTGCTGCATTATTTGGTGATAAATGCAATGTTCCATCTGCTGAGCTTAACATACACCGGATACCAGTGCTGGAAAAGAAAGAAAAGAACTTTAGGAATATGAATGATATGCCAAAAATATTAAAGCTTTATTTTTAGGCAGTAAATTCCCAGCAGAAAACCACTGAAGTAAGGGATACTCTGTTAGCAATTCAGTTTGAAGAATTCACTTTAAAATAATACTTACTTATCTGAAAAAGCCATACATTTTTGGATGTGAAGGCTTCCCTTAATGTGCTGATCCCAGTCCTGTGTTGAAACAAAGAGATGATGAACACAAGAAAAATCCTGAGATAAATTTACAAAAGATTATTCCTCCATTCAGTTTACCTTATTCTAAAAGCAATGCTGAGATGCTGAAGATTAAACCACGTGATGTCAGAGCCAAGCGCACCTTCTACCAATGCATTTACTGATTCGTTATTTGAATGTTAAATTATCAGTTTACAAAAGGAAACCTTCTCTGTATTAGCTTTTAAATTCAGTATATTTCTAGTAATGAAGTTATTTCACTCTTGCTGAAAACCTCATCCTGCAAGCTGCTAAGCACCCCTCAACTCCTTCAATGTCCATAAAGAAGGTGTTCAATATACAGGGCAGCCAGGACAGTACTTATTATTTCACTAGATCAGCAACATTTGTCGAAGTACATTTAGCTATTTACATTGCTATGATCCAGTTGAGGCAGTGCATTAAACACCCAACTAACATATCCCCTGAACTCACTGCAATGGCATTCCTCCTGCCCTTTTTAAGCGTTTAATGAAAAAAAGAAATGCCCAGCATGCCCTAAACAGGGGTTACTTCAGCTCATCCCCACAAGCTGCAGTAACCAAAGGAAAACTTTTTGCAAGCAGTTGCTAAAAGAATAAAAGGTAAATATGAAAGCAAATATATTCAATTATCCCAAATCCCCAAGGTGTGTAGGGATCAGGTATTATTGAATTTTTTGGCAATTTTTCTTCCTACGTACATGCTGTTATAATTTTATTGTCAGGCCACCAGCAGCATGAGAACACATGCCTTTTTGGTTAGGTGCTGGTCCTGTGATGTGACAGAAAAGGTCATGAGGACTTGTTGAGCAGGGCTCACCATGAGGCCAGAACAACCATGGATGGCTGTGGGGCTCAGAGGGCCACTTAAGTGGCCTTCTCCAGACCTGACCTATATAACGTGATGTACAACACACTGCCTGGGAAACTGGGAAGCTGTTTCTTGAGGGTGAGGTTGAATTTGGAATTTGGAGCTCCCTTGGCAGTGTGAACAGAGAAGTGAGAGAGAGCACGGTCTGTACCACATGTGCTGAACAGCTTCTTGATTTCAGGTAAAGGTCCTTGGGAACCTTGAGCCCTAAATTTTCCTGTGAGACACAAGGAAGAAAAAATTCTTACAGAGGAATAGTTAAAATAATTTTATCAAAAAAATACATTGTTTAAGCAAGCTGCTACCATGACGCTGTTAGAGGGAAGCATTTGAGATCAGAAAAGGAGAAGTAGATGAAACTACAGACATGGAGTTGTGACACTGGCTTGAGTATCAAGGGATCAGCTTCAAGCTCCTCCCCACCTCGCTCCGGGCACATGAGGTGTGCTACGACCTCGGCTCAGACCTCACGTTTCTCACATCAGTGCTGTAATCTCACTGTCTTTCACGGCAGGATGGAGAACAAAACTGGATCTCGAAGCCCCAGTAACTGCCATGAAACAGATGTACCATACCCTCAGCAAAATTATGGCCCTTTGTTTCTGCGTCTCTCAGGGCACCTCTGTGGTGATGGACCCTGGCAGTGAGGGGTGGCAGGAACTGGTGGCCAAATCAGTCACCTTGACAGCCTGTTCAAGGGTCTGAGCTGTGCCCAGGGACACCCTCAAACCACTCACCTTCAGATCGAAGATCTTCTTGTCGCACAGGGCACAGATGTGGGGGAAGTGGAGAGGGGCCACGCCACGGAGGTCGCCAAGCTGGTGTGGCGGCAGAGAGCGGGTGGGCAGATCGGGTGTGCCACCACTGCGCTCCTCCTTCTGCCTCATGCGAGGGCTGCCGAAGCTCTGCGCACTGTGGTTGAGGCGGCCGAAGGCGGGGGGGGCGGCCGTGCTGAACTTTGTGTCAGGTGTCGGCTCTTCGGGGTTGTACAGCTCGTTTCTTATTTCATACTGCTGCTGACTCGCTGACGGCCACAGGCTGTCGCCGGGCATGAGGTCAGGCTTGTTTTGGCTGGGGAAATTAGGGATATTTTCCCACTGGTTGCTTGTACTGCTGCCATGTAAGACAGGGCCGGGATCTCCTTTCAGATGGGAGCCCGTGTGTGGGCCGCTGGGGAAGGCCCGTGCTGCCCCATGCTGTGCTGCCGCCCCATAGGGCTCCTTGGGAAATGTCGCTGCTGCCTCGTGCTGCAGCTGGCCAGGAGCCCCAAAGTGACCCTCGTAGCGCGGCCCTGCTGCTGAGGTGGCAGTGTGGGCGCCACCAGCAAGGAAGCCGTGCTGGCTGGACTGTTCCCCCTCCGAGGTGAACGCCTGAGAAGCGGCAGTGACGACATTTTGCTTGTTGTACTCATAAAAGCCCCCTGCAGCGGTAGACGTGGAAGCACCTGCCTTGTTGAGACCCACCATCACGGGTTGCTGGCCGGAGGTCGGAGCCATGACACTTCCAAAGGGATTCATGACAATTGCGTTGGGGGCCTGGACGGCTCCCAGACCTCCCCCAGGGGTGGCTAAGGCTGGGCTCTGGGCAGGAAAGGCAATGCTGCCAGAGGGGAACCTCGTGCCGGAGATGCCAGGCCCCTGGGGTGGGCCTGTGGTGTGACCCTGAGGGGCGTTCATCACCGTGGGGTGCCTCAGCTGGTTGAAGAGTGGCTGGGACATGGCCACTTTGGAGAGCACCTGGTTGAGGACAGTGGCAGCGGCTGGGTTGTTGGTGACGGCAGTCTGAGCCAACTTCAGCCTGTGGAGCGTGAGCTGTGCCTGGAGCTGCGCCAGCTGCAGGCTCGCTGACGAGGGGAGCAGGGGGCTCGGGGCGCCGACAGAGAACGGACTCTTCTCCAGGAGCTTGGCAGCACTGCAAAGGATCAGCATCTGGGTTAGCCAAATTCACCCCACGTCTACCTATGCTCACCTCCTCTTAAAGCCTAGCATGGATACAGAGCTGCTTCCAGAGTTTTAGTGTATCCAAAGTCAGGGAAAGCAAAGGAGTGATTCAAAATGTATCCACAGCACACCATCTTCCCTTCCACATCTGCTGCCACATCTCTTTCAATCAAAAAGTTAATTGGTAGACAACTATGCCAAAGATCTTGCTTTAAAACCCTTATTTCATCCCTTATCAGTCTCTGGATCAAAGTTTCAACTCATTTTAAGTACACATAGGACTTAAGTTTCTAATGAAGACCAGGAATGGAGGCCTCCCACACCATCCCTGAATCAGCAACTTTTCTCCCTCTCTGCACTTCATGCAAAGCTCCAGCCTCCCTTGCTGAGACATGGCTGATCCTGACTGATTTTGTGATATCACCATTATTCCCTTTTCCCACAAAGCAGGAGGATATGAAGAAAAAGACATCCAATGGGATTTTAAAGCAAGCTCCACAGGTATTTCCCACCTAGCACATCTGGCTGCATAAAGATGAAGCAAGATGAAATATTCCACATGCATTTATTTTAATTGTCTACAGTTCTTGTGTTATTAATCTGCACAGCACCCTGTTCTGTAGCAAAGCCTGTAGTTTCCCTGTTGAGCAAATGCAACTATAAAGGAGGAAAAAAACTGAAATGAGAAGCGACTACAGGCTGTCCTGAAGAGTTTTCCTGGTTCAGCTGGAATGTAAGACAAAATTTCTGCAGTACCAGCTGGTGAAAATTAAGGTCTTTACACTTCCTAGAAATAAGAGGTATACTGAGTGTTGTCCTTTAAGTCTCATACATGGGATGAATAAATGACTGAATTGCCTGCTTGAATTCCAGAGCTGGGAAAATAAGAGATGAATTTTCAGGCATACAGTGGTTCCTTGCTTTGGGAAACACCTTTGAGACACCTCACCAGTTCACAGCACCACCACCAAAACACCATTTTCATGCTCCTACTGGAAAAATGTTATCCTTCACTTTCCACCACCCCTGCTCACAGACAGCACAGCTACTCAGTGCATTACAAATGGCTGTTCATTCTGACAGTGAGAGCACAGAGCACTCACACAACAGGGATGTGGTCCAAAGCTCAATTAATTTATATTGTAAAAATGTATTGAGTTTCAATTGAGGCCTTTCAAAGTAGCAGGAACTATGCATCAACCACCACGCAACCCTCACTGTTAATAATTGGCCAATTTGCTAAACTGCATGGATGAAGCTGTAGTTAATGATAAATGTCTTGTCAGCATGCTACATTTGAAAACCACAAATTAGGAAAACATCTGCTGAAATCCAAAGTATGACTAAGAGAAAATGAATGGGTTTCATATTTAACATTTAACTTCCACTAGCAACTGCAAGGCACATCTGTCTCCCAAAATACAGAACACCGTTTGGATAAATGCATCATTATGTAATGACATGACTCCCTGCCAGCACAGGCTGACACCAGTGCTCAGCTTCAGAGCTGAGGTGCCTTCTATTTTCCCATGTGGTTTCCATCACTTACTCTCTGACTTGCACTTACAACCCAGTTTGCTGTAAATTTGATTACGAATGAGAGTCAGGGCACAAGTACAGTCAGAACAACATAGAGGGCCTCACAAACCCCAGCCCAGGAGATCATACACAGTCATTGCCACTGGGAGACATGGCATGGCCCTGTGCCTAGGCTGCATTTTGCCACCAGCATCTAGAGTGTCCTGACTCACAGTGTATTTTCTGGCATTTACCACAGTCCTGACAACTGTTTCATTTTATAGCTAGCTATACCCTTTCTTCTTTAAGTAGCTACAAAACTCTGTCAAAAACTTTCACAAAGCATGCAAATAAGACCTGCCCAGTGGTCTCAAAAAGAAAAGCCAGCAGCATGTAATGTTTTCAGCTCAGGAGCCACAGATGACGCCTGTTCCCAGCAATCTAATTCCACTGTGCTGCAAGCCTACGCAGCAGTGTACTTATCCCAACAGCTGCAGCCACTTCCCAGCTCTGGTGGCTACCTGCTGGACACAGGCATGGGCTCCCCCTCCTGAGAAACCATCTCACTTGACACTGCCACAAGGCCTGAAGCTGCCTCAGCCTCCTCATGTTGTGACCAAGTTTGGGTGCTGCTCTCCCCAGCTCTGCGCTCGCTTCTAGGATCTGCTGCTGGGTGTGGGGAAGGCAATGCCAGCAGTGCCCTGCACTGCTGCACTGGAAGTGCTCTGGCCACTTCAGACCAACAGCCTTGGATTCTGCTGCACTGGAAGTGCTCTGGCCACTTCAGACCAACAGCCTTGGATTCTGCTGAGGAGCCGGGCAGCACCAGCTCCCTGCACCTGCCAGCTTCATCCCTGGATTGCAAACCAACAGTCCCAACCAGGGAAAGACTGGGGCTATGGGAAACCTTACCAAAAATGAATGTTGCACGAAGAAGCCACAGCCTCTAATCCACTTAGAGAGGGACAGAATAAGAGGGAACAGTTGTTCCCATGCACCAGTAGGTTTGGAAATGGCCAAACCTTCAAAATTCATGTCTGTTATGAATTTCCAGATTTCAGGGTGTTTCGGGTTGCAAAGTTTATCCTCCCACAGCAGAAACAGAATATTTTATCTTCTAACCAAGGCAAAGAAGGAAGTGCTTGTTCTTGGGTCAGTGAGAAAGCAGATACGCAGATGAAAGGTTGAAGAAGAGCTGTACGTAAAGCATCTTTTAGAGAGACATCCAGCTTTGAGGATTTCTGTTTTGCTCTGAAATACATGGCACAAGAGATATACCGGACCAGCATGTACAGCTTTGAAGGTTTCTTTCTTTCTATTCTACTATCACAATGTTTATATATTTGATAATGTAATTTTGTAAATAATCTTGCTACAGACTTACTAACATAGTGGAAAGCACAAACACAAGGTGAGGATAGCACTCAACTAAGGTATTTTGTGGGTGCCATTCCCCATTTAGACACAGACACCTCCCACCCCAGCTCATCATCAGGTTACCAAAAGGCAGCCCCCACCTGCTTGTGGGGGGTCTCTGCCACAAGATGATTGAAAGCAGCTGAATGAAGCTCTCATTCTCCATCAAGCGCTCAGGGAATTGGCCTGCGTCAGACAGAGTCAGCTCTATCCCGTGCAAAACATTCCCGATTATAAGGTCAGCAATGTAAAACGTAAACAGAAGATGTCCTCTGCAATTATTTATTTAACACCCGCTGTACAGCTGGCCTACACCAGCACCACCAGGAATGCCAGAAATGGTGTTTCTTTGCTAAAATAATGACAGGCAGCAGTGCTGCCGCACAGTCTCGACAAAGAAATCCATAATCCAGACAAGTTTTCACACAGCTCTGAGAGACAGGGGTTGAAATTGTACATTGATATCGCAGCACTCACAATGGGATTGCAAACACTGGCAAGGTCATATCACCATAAATCAATTCAGCCCACCGGCTATCCCTGTAATCTTTATTATGCTTTTAGTATCCAGGAACAGTGTCAGAGGTAAGGTATCTAGATGGCTGGATTATTTGAGCAATCCTGTCTACAAGAGTGATGAAAAGGTTGGCCACAAAACATGTCTATCAGAATAGACAAACAACCTGGAACTTGATTTTCAACTGACAAAACTAAGGGTTTCAAAATGCTGCCCAGCACCTTTCAAAATTAAGAAATAAACAAAAAAAATCTGGACTAATAAACTGGTGATCTGAGTTGCAACTACTTAAACAAACAAATATTTGAAACGCTGCATAAGGTGTGAATTTGAATACTTTAAAAAAAAAAAGGCTAATTCATAGCAGTGCAGAATTTTTCTTGCATCTTCCATGAATCTTGTGTATCTTCTAGGATTGTTGCATTCCCTCCCCTGAGACATGTCTTTACTATTAATTGCACTCACCTGTCAAAATATTTGCTTGAGAAATTTTTAATAATTTTAATTCCAAAATGTGCCCTTCCCTCCTCTCCCCAAGCAGTCTGTATTACTATGTTAAAATTTCAGAATTAAAATGATAAAGACAATAACATACCCAAGTATCCTAAATGTATCCCCACTCGACACTGATACAGTATTAGATTTGAATGTGTGCAGTAGCATGCTGGTTTTTCTAAAGTTGTTTCTGAATCAATTTTTCTAACAGTTAGCAAACTTTAAAATCATGATCCAGGACTTCTGAATACATCACACAGAACCATTTCCTAATTATGCAAGCACAAAATCATTCTGTCATGCAGAAATGTGAACACTCCTTCTCTGTAATATATTGTTTATGTGAAATGTATTGGGCTGCCTTCTCTAAATTCATCCAAAACAATTGCCACTGTAATAAAAAAAACAAATAAAAATGCCTTAAAAATATACAAATCAACTGTTTGATGATAAATTTGGCAAGATATTAGGGGCAGATATAATTTTCAAATTAAAATGCATCATTTGACAGTACTTCATTAAAATTACACATTTGTATGTGAGGACAGAATCCAGCCTCTTTAACACAAGGGAACGACAATGTCATATTTCAAACACTGGTAGGAGTAAAGACAAAGTTCAGCAAACTCCACAATATATATTAATTATAACAAAATTTAATTATTATAATTACATTATAATGCTGTTTTGCTAATTATTGCTATTAATAATGCAGCATCTATATTCACTTTTGCTTATTGATTAAATCCAACACTTACACCCACAAAGACTGGACCATTGGTTAAAAAATCAACTCTGGAACTTTTTCCTATACCCTTAGATTATTTCTGGCTGGTACTATATAACTGTTCACTTTCCCTTCAGCTCCACAAGAAGTTTTTTTGGGTTTTTTTGTCCTTTAAGTGAAATAAATCTCTTGGTCAGAAAAGCTTGGAAAGACTGCTGAAAGGAGAAAATCCTTCACCTTTATAATTTAAGCTCTGAAATCATCTACCACCAAAAATTTTTTTCCTGAGTTCTGGCTAGAAATGATAAAAAAAAAGAGATCACTTTTCCCAGTAAGTTCAGCTAATGATGGGGAGCACTAAAAACCTTAAGCTACTTTAATACATGTATAAGCTGCAAGCAAAACCCTTCTTATCCCAAATAGCAATTCCTAAACCCTTCCATTACACTACTGAGAGAGGAAAATAAAACATCAGCCAACGTATACATAGGCTTTGCCAAGTGAGTTTTGAATGTTTGGCAATGCTAAACTCTACTATCCGGACAATTATCCAACCTAACGGTTATCTGGAAGAAAAAATGTAAAATGCTATCACAAAGCTGCTAACACTGGCATTTACATATCTAATGGAAGTGCTTGCGTCCTACCAAGAGTCCTTCTGCTCATGTGAAGCTTGCAAGCCAAAGGGTTCTCCTGCCAGGCAATTTTCACTGAGAAAGGAACAAGATAAAGGGGAAAACCACAGTAGCTTTGTCTTGGATACCAGTTCTTCCTTGTGATCACAGAAATAAAATTGGAAGTGATCTTAGGAGGATGGCTAGACCAGTTCCTGAAGCGGGATCAAGCTGAATTCAACCACTCGGGACATATTTGTTTAATCTACTTTCAGGAATCTTTGGTGGATATTTCATGACTTCCAGGGATAATTAATTGCTCAAATCCCCTTAATTTTATAAAACTCTTCAAAAGCCTATGGTGGCTGCCCACTGACGCACTAAGCCTGTCTTCCCATGCACACAGAGAAGGGCTTCTCTTACCTTCCTTTAGCTGCTGCTATCGTATCTTCTCTGCAATCATCCCTTTCTCTACACATTTTGTGTGCCGCATTTATTTGCAATCCCAGGCCAATTACTTTTCTTTATAACAGCACAGGCCTGTGGTTCCCTGTTACATCCAACCCCTTTTCTGAAGCGATATTGCCCAGATATGCTGGTTGGGAGGAATCTCGGGAGCTCAGCTGGTCTGACTTCCCACACAATAAGGATTTCTAGCTCAGTCCTTGCTTCTTTTGACTGTCCAATGGATTAATTGTATTACCATTTCATTTTATCCTCATCAATATTGCATCCACATTACATCAGATCTGGCTTGTCAGGATTACTCTGAATTCCCATGGTGCCTCCAGAGCACTTGTAAATCCTCTCCTCTTGGCACCAATTGCAGAATTAATGGATACTTTGCTCACCCAAGTTATCAATGAAGGCGTCAAATAAACTAAGGACTGTTACAAATAAAGAAGCTGTGGTGCGCTTTCCATTTGCTCTCCAAACACCATTAATTCAAGGACAGGTTATCCACCTTGAAGCTCTGCTTTGTATGCTTAGGAGACCATGTTTTTCCCTCCCTGACAGTCTCTTCTGCTAAAAAAAAAATAAAAATTGAAAAGTCATATTTGCATCTGCAAGAATAAAAGGGTAGATTACCTCTGGTGAGACTGATTTCTTATTAACTACTCTTGCTCTATATTTCTGCAAAGTTGTCTCAGATTGTTGTTTAAAATCAACTACATGTTCTGGCTACTTTGCAACATTTGTTTCTATTTCATTCTAGTTGCTTTCAGTCGCTGAATCTGGTGCCACAGAAAAACAGTTGGCACTTACAATACAAGAATAATACCAGGTACCATCGAGGTCTGTGCTGGCCATCACATTTCCTGTGTATGTTACTCAGGACACATTCTATCCTGAAAATGTGCTTCTTATAATGTGTGGAACTCCAGATTGCATACCAGGCTTATTTCTGCTTACCCCCATGCAATGCATCTCTCCATAAATATTTAGTTAGGTAAAGTTCAGCTCTTTTCAAGTAAGGCACATAGTCAAGCAAATGTACTACCTAAATCTAAGGCTCCAAGTAATTATTTCCAAAAGCTGGGGAAGTTATAATATTGTTTCATGATATTTAAATGTTGTTTGGCTTTGATGATGTGCCCCAGTATGTCAAAGA